CCATTTAGTTTTCCCAGCCATAAGCAAACAGCAAAGCGGGGCACGCAGACAGCCTGCATAGCCCATGAAATGAAGCCGCACTTCTACAAGTGGGGCTCGCCTGCAATCTGACAGCCCCATGTGCTATCATGGAATCTTAGAATCAGAGAATGGCTGGGGTTGGAAGGGACCTTAAAGCCCTCCCAGCCCCAGCTCCTGCTGTGGACTGGTTGCCCCCCACCAGATGAGGCTGCTCAGGGCCCCATTGAGAGGGGGAGCTTGAATGCTTCCAGGGATGTGGCAATAGACCTTTGCTCACCTGTGCATCCCCCAGTGCAACAGACTTTTACAGAAAAACACACAGACATAATGCTGACAGATTCTGGGTGCATCTCCTGATGCTGGAACATCAGCAGCCACATGCTCTGAATTATTAGTGCTATCCTCAGTGTGGTTTTGCTCCAGGTCGATGCATTTCTGCCTGGGTGCAGCTAACTGAGTGCTGCTTTCAAGGGGCAGAAGGGATGGGGGTGTCCTGTTTGGAAGGAGAGAAGGACACAGTGCTGGTGCTGCCAGCTGGCCCTGGTACCCGGCAGCAGCCACTGCCATATTTAACTTGCTTGCTTGCTTGAAATAGCCTCAAGTTTACATGGCCACGGGAAAGGACTGGCTAAACTCATGGGGGGAAAATCCATCAAAATGGCTTTTAGACAAAAACAATCCCTATATCACAGATCATTGGACATGAGAAGGAAAATATTTGCACACACTGACCCTATACCAGCAGAAGCACCAGTCTAACTCCATGCACCTTCACACCGGTGGCTGACGGCATGGGTGCACAATCAGTGCAATTTTTCACACCGTATCAACCCCCAGAGAAGACTGGGCAGAGAGCCACCTCATGGAGTCAGTGCCCATCGTGGGATGCTCACACCTGCCTGCTGCTCCATTCTGAGCCGGGGAAACAGAGAAGAACATGTCACATTGTGAGGCTGTTACCTCCTTTGTTTCTTCATCATGGATGGGTGAAAAAGAAGAAAAAAAACAAAAACGTTACACACACACACACACAGAAAAGAAGCATACTGCAGTCCAATCCTCCAGTTGCAGCTGGAGCCCAGCTGGGAGGAAAGGGACTTCTAAGGCAGAGAGAAGGGAGGCTCTGATTATTTATTAGTGGCCGATGTTTGATCGCTCGCTAATCAGGCCAGCGAACACACTTGGGCTCTCTCGGCCTCCCCGCTCACATGTGGTTCCTGTTGCTTTGCCCCGTCCTTCCCTCCCCCCCCCCCCCCCCCCCCCACCTCAATTCTGGTTTTGCTTTGTTTGTTTTTCTGTTAATTTGGTTGTTTTTCCATGTCGTTTTCTGTCAAACCGCATGTTTTTTCCCTTTCTCTTGCCAGCCACTGCAGTGACAGACACGGGAGGAAGTAAGCCAGCCTGGAGCCTGCCCACCTCCCATCGCTGCAGGCAGCATCTGGGCGGGCATGTGGCCTCACATCCCCATCCCACAGCCAACATCCCAACTTGCATCCCTGAATTTGTCAGCGATGGGGCGAGCAGGGCACTCCGGCATCCCAGGACAGAGGGGCCGGAGGAGTCAGATGCCATCAGGCAGGGCATGGAGACAAGCAGGTTAGGATGGGATGGGAACGAAGGGATGGACACCCACCCGGCTGCTGCATCCCTCCCCTGTCTGCACACAAGGCCTCCCCACTCCCATGTGCACTCTCCAGCTTCTGGCAGCCTCTCCACCGTGCGTTTCCACTCCTCTCTGGCCCATTAGCAGTATTTTTATAACATTCTGTAATGCACAGAGCCGTGTGCCAAACCTCAAGAGCGCATTATTTCCCAACGTCTTTGTTACATCCATCCACGGGCCCTCAGGCCATGCGTTTCCAAATGCTGCAGCTCACGGGGGTAGCCAGGAGCCTGGTACCCAAAGCCCTGCAAAGCCCACATCTCCATTGCCCACTGCTTCCAGACCGTGCTCAGACCCACCAAGCTCCAGGCTATGGGGAAGGCTATTGGAGATATGCACTACGGTTGCCCTCCTATGGCTCACCCCATGCTCAGTTGTCACCACTTGATGAAAGCTGAAAAGCTACACATTGCTGCCCAAAGCCCTCTGGAAGAAGTGTCCCGGAGAAGTGCCACTGTCCCTCCAGATGTTGTGTGCCTAGCGGATGGGACTCCCATGTATAAACATGCCTGCTGCTCCTTCCTGCTCTCCCAAGTGGGCTCTTCATGTCTCAATCACTCCATCCCTGGACACACTCTGTCCCCACTGCCTGTGTGCCAGCATCCTTGTGCCTGCAGCTTCGGGACAGGCAGGCTACCACAAACCATCTGCATTCCACTGGGTGCTGCGGAGCCACACCCCCCAGGAGTTGGACCTAGATATCAAATCCCATCATTAAGGCCAGATTATGAAAGCACATCAGTGTGCCACCTTCATGTGACTTTCGCCCCACTTGCATTCTGGCCCTTCCAGCATGAAGCTCTCACCCCAGAAGCCCCAGGGTCACCCCAAAGCCACGTCCCACCCACACTCCCTCCTCCTCCTGGTCCAGAGCCACAATGTAAAACATAGCAGCACAGTCCGAAGGCTGATGCTGCAGTTCCCCCATCCCTCCCAGCAGCTCCCCTTTCAGCACAATCTGATCCCCTTTAGCCATTTCCTAAGCCATGTTCCAACTTCCATACTAATCCACATTTTCTCTGGTTTAACTCATAATTTCCCATGTGGCATCATAACAAAATACTTCACTGAAGTCAAGATAGATTACATCGGCCGCATTTCTGGGCCTAGGAAATCAGTTCCCTTATCAAAGAGAGCTATCAGGTTAATCTGCTGTGATATATTGTTGGCAAGCCTCCATATTATTTTCTTCCATTTTCCATTTGTCTCCATATCTGTAATTGTGCTTTCTCCTGAGCGCACCCTGTGACACTGTGGTTGGGATTTTTACTTTTCCCAAGCACAGGAGACATGCTGCCTTTCCCTACATCCCCACTGGGTACCACCAATGACAGCCTCAGACACTAATGAACCTGGCTAATGACCACCTTCAGGTTTTCTCCTCCCCTTTTTCCCCAGCACTGCTCAGGAACACATTCTACCTCTGTTACTGCTAAGCTCCCCTCCAGCCTCCCTGCGCAGCTCATTTCTCTCCTTGCTCTCTCTTTATTCATATAGCTAACACTGCTTTAATTTTGCTGCTCTGCCCTGCTAAAGACATGAAAATGCAGCCACAGGCCTGTTTTCACTTAAGTTCCCATCCAATTTAAATGAGTCCAAGATTCTACAAATCACAGGTTCTCCTCTGTGGTCCTTGCAGGCACTCACTCCGCATGCTCAGCTGAACACAGCAAACATCCCCACGATTATAAGCTACCATGGGGGCGCTGCAAACCACGAGTATCTCCTCCAAGGATGCTCCCAAACCTGCTCTCCGTAGCACCCTGCACATCTTGGGGTACCGACTTGCCCTGGAGAGGGCAGGAAAGGGGAGCACGGAGGGACTGGGGGCAGCAGGGGTGCTGGGAAAAGAAACTTCAGAGAGAACATTAAATTAAATCCAGGCAATTAAATTAATTACCACTAAAAGGGTCTCATCTGATTAGCTCCTTGCATACTTAATTGCATTAGAACACCGGGCACTCGTTTATTTATTGCTCGTGGCCCCTGTGGTGTCTGAGCGTGCCCTTCGGCTGCCCAGTGCCCAGCAGGGCCAGGAGTGGGCAGCAGACGGGAACAAGCCGTAAATGGAAACAGTGGGATTTCAGCTGTAATGCTGTGCAGTTCCCATAGGTCCCAGAGTGGACTCAGAGGGCTTACTATTAGTGAGGTGCTGAGCAGAGGTAAGAGTCATTGCAGAGTCTTAGTGATGCCACAGCTGCAGAGATGTTTGGAGACAATGTTCCCCTCATTAGCTCTACATTTGGGCTGCAGACCGTGCTTGGAATACCAGTTGTTGGTGGCACCCTGACCCATAGTCCTGGACCACCATCTCAGCCCAGAAACATGGCCAAGAGGTCTCTGGCCACACACTTGCCTGCTGCCTGCTATTAATTGCCATCCTCTCGGCTTCCACTTGCCCACTTGCCTGCTTCTCTCCTTGACGTCCAGCTCCTTCCAGCATCCTTAGACTGAGCGCCAGCATCCCTCCCATTAGACACCACTACAACAAGGTCAACACCATGCAGCATTCCCAAAACTTGGACCTACTGACACAGAGGGCCCTTTTTGCCCAATTTACAGGGCTTATGCATGATACAGGCAACCCTTCTGCCTGGCCCATGGTCTATGGCAGAGATGCACCTGCAGGGTGCTAAAGAAGAAACGCTTTGCCACATCTCCCACCTGTGGGAACAGCCATCTACAAAGCACATATCCAGGGTCTTATAACTGGCACCTTTCAGCATCCTCTGCACCCTGCTGCCAGACATGCCAAACACTGCTCCCAGGTACCGCCAGCTCTCAGTTGCAAGTGTGAAAACCACAGCTGCTATCAGCTGTACAAACACTGCAGCCCGCAAAACACACAGCTGCTGTCAGCTATCAGCGTGGTGTGAAATATAGCACAGCTCTTATCTCCCGCAGCGAGACCTGTGAATCAGCGCATCTCTCACTTAAGATATGCAAAATCCTGTGAAACGTGCAGCTGTCCCCTCCCACAGCCATATATACAGCCCTTCCCACCCTCAGATAATGCTCTTTCTGCTGTACCATGGCACTGGGCTGGCTGGTGAAGCAGCATCCCTCCTGAAATTATTCTGTGGGCATCATTATCAGCTTTGACTCAAAGTTTGGAGAGGCTGATTCTGATTCCAGCATCCTGCTGCTAGAATTCAGGCACCGCTGGTAGGTTGTGCTGCAGGCTGCAGCAGAAAACCATACATATGGACAGTATTGGGACTGGTGTGAATGGAGGGTGCAGTGAGGGGTCAGTGTAGGAGCCAATGGTGTGGTTGTGTCCCCTGTTCCCCACAACGTCTCACAGCAGTGTGCTCACCTCCCACCCTAAGGTAGGTCTGGTACTTGAGGTGCCAGGAGGAGCCCTCGTAGCACGAGTACTGGCCGCTCTGTGTCAGGTCCACTTTCTTCAGGATCAGGTAGGACCCGTTCAGGTGGGAGTCATCAATGTCAGTGCCATTGGCTGTCCAGGTCACGGCTGCATCCCAGTCCATGGAGCCGCACTTCATGGTCACGTCGGCACCTACCCGCTCATACTGGATGTGGCTGTCTGTGGAGGAGAAAAGCAGGTGAGATCAGAACCTGTGGGCTACCTTGGAAACAGGATCTTACCATGACCAGTAAGCATGGGAAGGGCTGGAGCATGAGCTGACGCAACGGCCAGGGAAATTCACATTCTCCCTCTGGTCCGGATAATAATTTATTTTGACCTTAGACCAGAGTACTGGAGTGGATCAGCTGGCAAGGGCCAATGAACTGGGACTCGAGGATCACATCTATCTCTCAGAATCACAGAATTGTTAAAGTTGGGAAAGATCTCTCAGATGATTTAGTTCAACCCATTACCACCATGCCCACTAACCACACCTCTCAGTGACAAATCTACAAGGTTCTTGAACACATCCAGGAACAGTGACTCCATCACCTCCTAGGACAGCCTGCTGCAATTCATCACAAGATTTTTGAGAAGAAATTTTCCTAGAATGCAACCTGAACCTCATCAGACACAACTGGAAGCCAATCCCCCTCATCCTATCACTGTTACCTGGGAGAAGAGGCTGACCCCACTTTGCCTGAACTCCTTTCAGGGAATTGCAGAGAGTGATAAGGTCTCCCCTGAACCTTCTCTTCTCCAGACTGAACAATATCAGCTCCTTCAGCTGTTCCTCATAAGACCTGTGCTCCAAACCCTTCTCTGGATACACTCCAGAGCCTCAAAGTCATTCTTATACTGAGAGGTCCAAAGCCAAACACAATACTCAAGGTATGGCCTCACCAGTGCTGAGGGTCATAGGATGCTTTCCTCCCATCTTTACCTTGGAGAAGGCACAACAGGGACACCAGTATGGCTTACTGGCCAAATGCCCCACAGCACATCCAGCTGTTTGTGTCAGCAAGTCATTGCCACTCCTGCACCCTCTTGTCTCATTGCAAGACACAGACTAAATGCACACATCAGAAATTCCCAGGGGAGAGAGGTGACAGAGCCCCAAGACTTGTCATTAGCAAGCTTTGAGTTATTGACTAGCAGAAATGGGAAGCGGGTAGCTGCCTTCAATTCCCTGCCTAGCAAATGAGGTGGGAGGATTTCAGCTTACCTGTGCCATGCCTTGGAAAGGGGCAGCTGCTTGGCACATGCTATGCTGTTTATCTCCCTGCCTCTTTTTTTTTTTTTTCTCTCTCTCTACAATAACACGATGCCTTGCTGAGCTGTTTGATTTAGCATCTCATGAGTGTAGCAACACAGCTCATTGGGCACCAGCTGCCTAATTGAATTTTCTCAGGTTTCTGGACAGGAGTTCGAGCTGACATTCATTAATGATACTTGGCAATTGAATCTTTCCTGTGCTGCTACACGGGTTGTTCTCTAAGCTGTATGTGGCAAGGATGAAAACATTTTTGTAAACGTATCATATGGGGTGAAGCAGGATGGGGATTGAGCAGGGTGTGAGCATCTCCTTCCAGGTTTCATCCGTTTGTTCAGGTCTCAAAATACTCCTGGGTTTCCAAATCACTTTTGACAAGGTGCCCCACTCAGGCTCCCAGAGAAACCCAGTATCCCTGAACTCAAGGAGAGTCCTCGCAAGGATTTATAGCAGCTAAAGGTCAGGAGACCAAGGGTGAGAAGAAGCAGTCAGGCTTGGCCGAGGAAGACGTCACCAGTGAGCTTTGACAGAGCTCAGAGCAGGACCCGAGCTGCCCAGCGCACTCATAACTCATGGGCCAAGGCAGTGCGAGCAGACAGCTGAGGCTGTCAGGGCAGCAAAGTTAAAGCTGGGGGCAAAAGCATCCCAAGGGGCATCACAGCGCGCGTTGTGTCGATGAACACACAAGAAAGCACATCTTCCTGCCCAGTCATGGCTCCAAATCAGCTTCAGCCTCCATGGAAACGTATCATGGAGTGATCGTGTTCCTGAAAACATCAGCTCAGTGGCAATCAAAGACGCAAATGCAATGTTAAGAATTATTAAGAATGGGGGGATTGAGAATGGCGAGTAGTGTACCCTAGAAACAGCACACAAATCTGAGCCTGTACCATTAAGATGAAAATGGAGCAGAGGAAGGAAATGTGAGAGAACAAAGGTTGAAAGCAGCCTCTGTTTAAGGGATGGCTTGACAGACTCAATCTCTTCATCCCTGCAATCAGACACTGGTTGGAGGCGTGACAGACACCTGAGCGACACTGAATGATGTGAGGAGCATGAATAGAGAAGGACCGCCGGCTCTTTCTCCTAATAAAATAATTAAGGGGCAGCAAATGAAAGTAAGGAAAAGAAAGCGCTTTTTTCACACAAGGTGTGATTAAGTTAGAGAAACCCACATCCATCTGTTGCTATGAATGTCAAAATTGAGGGGAAAACAACGATTAAATGAATCCATAGCAGAGGACTCCACCCATGCTGACGGTATGCCAACAGTGGGGAGGGATGGGAGAAGCACTCCAACACTTGTCCTACTCCTTTCCCTCCAGATATCAGCTCCTGTGTCCTGCTGGCAGGTGGAACAGGGGCTACACACACCTGTAGTTTGTTTTGAGCATCTTAAAAAAGCTTACTGATAGGCAGAAAGAAGGAAAAACATCCCAGCCAAGGAGACTGTAGGAGACTGTGCGAGGTGGAATAGCTGGAATGGGCACAGAAAAATGGGCTGATAGGCAGAAGCATGGAAGGAGATGGATGGGTGGGCAGATGAACGAGTGTGTGCTTGCAGACAGATGGATAGCTGGCTGGATGGGCGCAGCTGGGATGGAGGGAAGCGAATGAAGAAGAAATGATGGATGACTCTGTAAGTGGATGGATGGATGAGTGTATGTGGGGATGCAGAGATGTAAGAGGATTGAGGTCTAAGCATATAGGCATCTGGCTGGCTGGCTGCGTGTGGGATGGAGGGATGAATGGACAGATGGGTGGGTGAATGCTTGGGTGGGCGGCTGGAAGGAGGGAGAAAAGGATCAATGAACGGCAGTGGGTGTGGGTGTACGGTTGGCTGTTCAAATGGCTGGGTAGATGGATGGATGGACAGATGACTAGGCAGATGGGCAAACAGATATAGATCACTGACCTCCAGTATGAGGTCTTACTCAGGTTCTCCTCTATTATTTTCTTATGCACAAAGAAAAGACACTTTGCTTTCCCCTTTCCTGCTGGCTCACAAAAGGCCATTACTCCTCCTGTCCTCACAACCAGAACCTGCTGGGCAGAGACAGATGCTGAGAGATGCAGCATCACCCACCAGCCCTGAAAGAAGAAAACTTAATTGCAGCAATGGGTCAACAAAGCTGCCCAACTGGTGCCTAGGAGAAAGGCTTGGGTCAGAGAAAAGTTCTGGAGTTCTTGGCCCTGCTTCTTCGGACTGTGAATGAGGACTTGTCTGCAGATGGGGATGTCAGGGTTAGGCTGGGAAGGGAGGTAAAGGCAACTTGAATTATTTCCTATTTGTTCTTAAACACAGCACAAACGCTGGCATGCATTCAGAAAGGCTGAGGGAGCCTTTCCTGGAAGACAGGTCTTTGAAAGCAACACTCCTTCCCAGTGCAATGATTTAAGGCTCCTAACGAAGAAGAAATCCAAAGCACAGTAATAGAGCAGGCAGTTCTCTCAGACAGGTTTACTCTCTCAGAGCTGCTCATTGGAGCTGATCCAGATCCCCAGATCCCTCCTGTCCCAGCCCACCCAGCCCCATCACCATGTGAACGTGTGACACTCTGCTGGCAAGTGTCACTTCCTTTTGTCTGTCCTGTGCTGCAGACATCAGTACTGCTTTTGGATGAGAACAGTGAGGGCAATCAGAGCCTTTCCGGGGAGACTCGAATTCCCCTCTGGCTGGATATGGGCAGGATCTCACCTGAGGGATCCAAAGCATTTTTTGGGACAGACACAAGCGTTCTGCACCCACTGCACTCTTCTGTGCGTGGCCTTTGGCTCTGCCCCTGTGGATGGGGAAACTGAGGCAGTGAGAAAAAGACATGTCCCCAGTAAGATGTCGAGAGCTTCTGCAGTGGGACGGAGAAACACATCTGTGCCTTATGACAGAGGTATCTATCCTAAGGTGTCTATCACTCCATTAGCCTACGTACCTCCCACCCAGAGCTGTGTGCAAGCGTTGAGTAATAATCCGAGTGGATAATTAGATCTCTGTGTATGCATTCATAAATTACACATTTAATATTTACAAGGTGCTAGGGGTATGCTGAGAGCTTTCCAAGCAGATGAAGCAGCAAGGCCTCACTCTCTGCAACTTCCCACTGTAAATGAAACCAGTGAAACAATGGGATCAGTGGGATGTCTGTGGCTTCCAGGGGCCTTTGGGTGTGCAGTGGCACAACCCTGTGCCCTCTCTCTTGCTCCAGCACCTTGTTGGCATATCACCAACCATGCTCAGGGATGCAGGTGGCTCTGCTCCCATCTGCAGCTTCATGGCCCCTTCCTGCCATGATGAAACAGCCACCTGTACTGGAGAGGGTTTTCCTACACCACCTCCCCAGAGCACATCCTACCCTCATCTCCTCACACCTGTTCCCTTCGGTGCTGCTTGGTCTTTGCACAGCTCTCACTGCCAGCAAAAACCTTCCCTGCCAGAGGAAGGAATTTCATGCTTAAGGAGGCAGTTCTTCCACAAGTGATTTAAAACTAAATACATCTTTGTAAGGAAACAGGCATAATTAAATGTCATTGATGTAGCCAAAGATATGGACCGTTCCAAGTTAATTTTGTCCATTAATGAAGAATTGCAGCAAGCAGAATCCGCATTTGTTTGCTCTACTTTGGTAAATCCCTGGAGTCAGCAGCTTTGCTTTCTTGACAAGAAAAAATAATTAGCAAGAAACTTTAATTAAGAGATAACAGATGGGTGCTAAAGGACTTGTACTCAATCACTTCTCGATAGCCTGGAAGCAGATCTCTGGAAGCAGGTTTGCTTTAGGGGCACTGCAAATGAGGCACTTTCCCTCTCTTTCCACCATGGGCAGCTCCATTGTGACCAGGCTCTGAGCACCCTGATCTCGCTGCAGATATCCCTGTTCACTGCAGGCAAGTTGCATCAGATGGCCTT